CCTTTGGGGGGGGAAAAAAGTGAGGTTAAACGCCACAGGGTTGGTGATTTGTTTCACTTTATTTATTTATCTTTTTTCTTTCGTGATGGAGAAATACTCGCGAGACCGCAGTGGACACAAATCGAGGAAAGAGCGTTATGACGACTACAGAGGCGAAGATCGAAGAACCCGCGATCGCACGGAGCATCGATCCGGAGAATCTAAATCGTCCATACACGATCACTCGAGGAGGTCCAGCGAGAAGCATAAAAGATCGAGGGACGACGAGTCTCGTTCGCGTCGCGAATCGCGGAAGTCCTTCAAGCGTAAGAGCCGAAAGAGGTGGGTCTTTTCAATTCAAATTTTAGAGACTGTAGGTGTTTTCCATTTGCTGACACAAACAGTCGTTCTATCCATTTTAGCAGAGTCAATGAATAACAAAAAAGAATAACACTTGTATCGATTGTGTCTTCTAAACGGAAAGCAGCCATAGAATGATTTCTAATTGATAGCCAAGTCAAGGAGTATCGCTTTGTTTCTCATGAATGCCAAGAAAGATGAAAGGACGTTTGTATCACTAAATGGAAAACATTATGATTCAGAAAACACAACGTTTGAGTGAGTACTTAGTAATTGTTGCCTGTAATTGAAGTAGACCTTTAGATCCATGCTAAATCTAAGTTTTGTTCGCGTCGCATGCTTCAACATGTTCCAATACGCCAATTTCTTCTACTATAGCTCTTATGCTCATGTCATACTACGCATTGGAGACTGAGGATTGCGAATTGAGGATTAGAATTCAGCCAGTTAGAATAAGGCCAGAATCAGACTAGACAGATTGAGATAGATTGAGATAGATTGAGACTAGACTAGATTGAGATTGAAGAATGAAAGATTGAAATTTGACCAATCAAAACAATAGGAGCTAAAATTCCTTTGCCCTCATTGGTCAAATTTCAATCTTCAATCTCAATCTTCAATGCATAGTCTGATTCCGGCCTAAAATGGATTAAACTTAAAATTACCTGATTGGTCGAATTCTAATCCTTAATTCGCAATCCTCAATCTCCAATGCGTAGTGTGACACGGGCATAGGCAGGAATCAGAATACGCATTGAAGATCGAGATTGAAGATTGAAATTTGACCAATCAAAACAATAGGAGCTAAAATTCCTTTGTCCTCAGTGGTCAAATTTTAATCTTCAATCTTCAATCTCAATCTTTAACCCCGGATCTACAATAGAATGTTAAGCTTTAAGCCATAAGAAATGGACGAATCATAGTCGATTATTCTCCTCGAATTCGACTATAATCTCGGATCTACAATAGGATTTTAAGCCTTAAATCATAAGAAATGGGCGAATCAGTCGATTATTCCCCTCGGATTTGACTGTAATTGGTCAATTTCTTATGGCTTAAACCTTAAAACATCTATTGTAGATCCGGACTAATTGGTCAATTTCTTATGACTTAAGGCTTAAAACACCTATTGTAGATCCGGAGTAATGCATAGTACGATTCCGACCTTACTGCAATGCATTTGATAGAGTGAGTATGTTGGAGCTTGCGACGTGAACAAACTTCTAGAAGAATCAATAGGTCTGTTCGCGTTGCTTACACTTTTTAGACTTATAGCGTTTTTCACTGGCAGAGCTGGTGCGCGCTCAATGCACTTTAAAGCCGTTGTACACAAATCGACGTAAAGATGTACGTTTAATAAAAATATAGAAACGAATCAAACCGTGAAATCTTCAATAAATTTTATTGTGGTATTTGATAAAATATACGTTGGGTATTTTATTAATTTAGATATATCACTTTTACATTCAGATTAAGTTAGTGTACAACAACTTTAATGTGTACTGAGTGCGCACCAGTTCTGCCAGTGAAAAACGCTATTAGCATCTTCGCTTTCTCTTTTCAGCGCTAAATATATATTTATCTCATTTTAAGTATAAAAAGTGTAAGCAACGCGAACAGACCTAATAGGCCTGTTCTTTTTGGTTGAACTTTTGCATCAGTTCATCCTTTTTCCTCTTCTTTCTTCCTGGAAAGAAAAGAAAGAAGATAAATTAGTGCAAAAGTTTAGCCAAAAAGAACAGGTCTATAAGCAGCAAAATGTTTACTCAACTGTTTCCTAAACATACATGATCATCTTTTGAAATTGTACATATATGCGATATATGTGAGAGATATAGATATATATGTTCTACATGTGGTATATATTTTTAATTTAGAGAGTCATCCTCACCGTCTTCAGATTCGAGCAAATCCAGTGATGGCTCATCTACAGACTCGTCCTCAGATTCTACAAAGTTGCTGGAGAAACTTCAGAAGCAACGGCATAAGCAGGTGGAGGATCGTAAACGACAGAAGGAACTGATGAAGGCGACGGAGACGCCAGAAGAGAAGCGTCTGCGTCGCTTGAAGAAGAAGGAAGCCAAAGAACGTAAACGTAAGGAGAGAATGGGTTGGGACAACGACTACTTACATTATACAAATACAGATAATCCATTTGGTGATGGCAATATCCTGTCTACTTTTGTATGGTCGAAAAAGTTGGGGAAGGAAGGCCTACTTGGCGTGGGCAGGGAGGAATTGGAGATTCGTAACAGGCACAAACAGGAGGAGAATAAGAGAGAGCTAGAAAAGGTGAAGAAAAGGAGGCAAGAGAGAGAATTAGAACGGCAGCAGAGGGAAGAAGAGATGACGATGTTGCAGAGAGGTAAGGAGGCTGCTCAATTAGAGCAATGGGCTCGGCAGGAAGATCAGTTCCACCTTGAGCAAGCCAGATTGAGATCCCGCATTAGAATCCAGGATGGTCGGGCGAAACCCATCGATCTTCTCGCAAAATACATAAGTGCGGAGGAAGAGGTTGATGCAGTGGAGATGCACGAGCCATATACATACTTACGAGGTCTGCACGTGAAAGACTTGGAGGACCTTATAGAGGATATAAAAGTTTACAAGGAACTGGAAAGAGGCAAGAATTTAGATTACTGGAATGATATAACTGTGATTGTGGAGGACGAGTTGCACAAACTCAGGAAAATGGAACGAACAGAATATGAAGTTGGTAAGAGAAATAATTCGTTTTTTTTTTCGATACAGATTTTTTTCAATACAGATTTTTGATGCCTAAATTTTTGTATGAATTTTACAATTTCTAATTCAAACTTAAATTGTAAAATTCATACAAAAATATTATTAAACACCAAGGCTTGCTTTAACAGAATATGATCTTCTTTACTCATTTGTACTGAATATTTTCTCAATCAGTTTTTACTTAATATTTTTTTCTCTCGCCTATTATGATTCTTGCTTACAGCATACTGTATCTTCTTTTTTAGCTGTTGGTAGAAGAGAAGGAATCCACGAGTCGGTCGCTAAAGATGTCACGGCTATTTTTAAGGGTAAAACTGCGACGCAATTGGAAGCTCTGCAATTGCAGATTCAAGCGAAAATTACAGGGAAGCCAGAAGGCGTCGATATTGGATATTGGGAAAGCCTTTTGTCTCAGTTAAAAGGTAAGAAATAAATAATTCAACAGCGTATTCAAAAATTGCAAATAATACATGTGATTCATACTAAATATTAAATATATAGCCCACATGGCGAGAGCGCGACTTAGAGATCGACATCAAGAGAATTTACGTAAAAAATTGGAGGTTCTCATCGCCGAACAAGGTGTAGCCAGAACGGAAAATGAGTCCGAAGGCTCGCAAGCACAGGAGAACGAGTCCACTGTAAGACAAGATGAACCTTCTTCCAGCACAGCTGTCGAAAAGGATGAAAATAGTCATTCTGAGTGAGTATTCTCTCCCTTATGCCGATTCAAGAAGTCTTTATCTCTTCTTTGCAGCAATAAGATATATAATTATGTCGTATGTTTCAGTCAAGAAGAGACAAGTGCTGCTGACGATCTGTTGTCCGAATCCTTCCGCGAGTACGAAGCAGGTGGCTACTCGCCAAGTTATATACCTTACTCACAGCTTGAGCCAGGCACACTCGTTACGCAGGAAGACGAGGACAATCAGCGATTAGAATACGCAAGGCAACAAGTCCTCAATACCGGCAGAAAAATTCAGAACGTGCTGACAATCGAGGAGCAGGCCATGCATCGGGAGGCGCGAAAGGGCATGGGCTCGGACGAGGCGCAGTTCAGCGTCGAGTCGTCATTGGAAGCGCAAATCTACCTATGGTCCGACAAGTACCGACCGCGTAAACCGCGCTACTTCAATCGCGTGCACACAGGTTTCGAGTGGAACAAATACAATCAGACGCACTACGACATGGACAACCCGCCACCGAAGATCGTACAAGGATATAAATTCAACATTTTCTATCCGGACCTCATCGATAAAAATACCACGCCAGAATACTTTCTTGTAAGATATTTGAATCTTCTTCGGGCACAACTATTGTGAGGCCTGTATTTTTTTTTTTATAAAGTTTTAAATTGGTATATATTGATACAGTAAGTTGAAGTGAAACAACAATATTTGTTTAGTTTACTTATTGCACCACAGTGTATACCAGTTCAGAATTTTCTTAAACTGCTTACGTTTTAACAAATTCCTAGCTATTCTGCATTTTGTGTAGTTCAATTTTATTAATTTATTAAAACGCAAGCGATCTAGCAGAAAAAAATGTATCGTGTGCTCATAGGCTTTAGATTAGCATTGATGATTTATAATTTTTTTAAGTAAATTATTTAATTCTGATTTTAATTTTCAGACACCCTGCACCGACAATAAAGATTTCGCCATCCTGCGATTTCATGCGGGCCCGCCTTACGAGGACATTGCATTCAAAATTGTTAATCGAGAATGGGAGTACTCATACAAGCGTGGATTTAGATGTCAGTTCCACAACAACATCTTCCAATTATGGTTTCACTTTAAAAGATATAGATATCGTCGTTAACATATGTATATATCGTTATATAACTACAATTTTATAGAAGACTTGTACAGACTTGTGTATATATATATATATATTACATCGTTGTATTTGTACAATATCGTGCGGCTAATTTTTTTAATATCATATTTATATAAAAAAGCGAATAAAAAGAGATCCATGATACGCAGTGGCTGTATTATGATAAAATGTGCGGCTTTTTAGCAATTCATAATCGCGCATACTTTTATCGTTTGCTCGTTCGCTTTCGAACGACTTCCGCAATGACGAGAACACGCAGTGCACACCGAGCGCGGTACAGTCAGTGTTTTAAACGGCGGTCGTTGGATCGATTTTTCCTTTGCCACCTGTGTACTGTCACACAATCGACCGCACACTCGTACATATAGAAAGGTAAAAGCTGTACGGAACTAATGGCAAGGTGAAGCCGAGCTCGCAGTACGCCGCGTAATTCGGTAGCAAAGGGCCGCGCGTCGTCGGGAACTTCGCTTCCGCTTATGCTCAATTAAAAATAAATGTGAAATAAATGGACTGCGTATCAACGACTACGACTGTTATTTGCGCATTCGTGTTATTTGTATGTGCGATTTCTGAAACAAAGTTCCCGCATTTTTATTGCGGGTGCGGATGGTGTAACGCAATCATTCATTTAATATTATAATTAATCGAGTTTCTCTAACATTCGTTCGAATTGTACACACAAGCATCGAAACATACCACCTGTTCATCGGACGAGGAAAAACACTATATGTTTGTGACGTCAATCGCATAACTTAAGTATACGTTCGAGGAAAAGCGATGACCGTTTGCATAGAAAATGTAAAGCGAAATTTAGTAGGCGTCGAGAAACGTTCCCTTTCCGGCACGAAAGTTCTTTGAGACTTCGAGATGTCACTGATAAGATAGATTACAGAATGATCGAAGTCACTTCTAAACGATGAAATTTAAGTATCGAACATTAACTCTTTAATTGTTTTCGTCTTATATCAATGTAAAAACGTTGAGGGGTGAACTCGTGGAGGATTTATTGTCGGCAGAAAATACGATTATGCTCGCTTCGCGACTTTTGTCCCGTGATTTGTGAGGGTCACCAATACCGATAAAATCGTTATGAAGTGGAAGAGAGGGCCATGTGAGTTTCTGTCGCAGAAAACGTTTCTTATAATAAAGGATGACTTGGATATTTCAAAAGGTAATGTCCATCGTATTTCGTGTCAGTGACATTTTTTTCTAATCCATTCTTCAAATGGAACAATGATGATTTGATCCAGAAGCAAATCGCCCCAGAAGAGATGATTTCTTCTGTGATTGATTCTTTTAAAAATGTATGACGTGTTAACTCATTAAAAACTAATGTCTTATTTTTTAAATAAAATCTTATCGTGCGAATGAAATAGTAATAAATAGTCTTCTTTTAAATCTTTATTATTCCTAGTATTTTTCAATAATTTTTTCAGTGGTTACAGCAGTTAAATATTAAAATTATCCAGTCAATAATTAACATCAACTAAAAGTAACATAACATTAGTGTTATAATTTTGTATTTAACATGACAAATATAATACAAAGGGTGTTATATAAAAGTTACATTGTTGTGACTAAAATTATTGATGTTACTTCTAGTTGGTATTGAGAATTAACTATTTCTCTCTGACAATCACAGTGTCAATCTGAGACATTTAAAAAACAAAAAGTACACATTAAAATCTCTAACTACTATAGTTTTCAATGAGATAAAACCGATCTACATTTCTGTGTCGATGCTTCCTATCAACAACAGATCATCTCCGTCTAAATAGATCCGACTAAGACGACAAACGGCAAGAAGGCAGCGGCGAAAAATGCGGCGCGTATCGGCACCTGGCCGCCAAAAATGAAGCGCATGCAGGTTTTTTGCGAAGAGGAGCCGGAGAGGCCGAAGACGGCGAATCTTACGAGGCCAAGTGTGCTGGACCCCGCGCTCGTGAATAAGCTTGACATGTCATTGCTCAGTAAGGAATTGCTCTGCGACTCGATGACGCGTTTCCATCAGAATGGCAAGCCAGTCAGTGGGGGCACGACATCATCGTCGTCATCGTCGTCATTATCATTGCTGTTACCATCGCCGCCGTCGGCATTACGACGACGCCAAAGCGCTGTCGTCAACACCACGACGACTACCACCTGGCCGTCTTATGACGCTCCAGTGCGTCGTCAGCGACGGAGCTTTGAACAGATTTACGAGCTGCGGGTCGCAGCGGGCCAAATGGAGGAGATTGACACATCTCGATCGTCCGCAGCCACCGCGACGCAAGAGTCTGCGTCCAGACGAAACACCGACATCAGAAGGCTCGACGATAATAATAACAAGTCAGTAATGATTAGATCGTAAATTAATCGAACTAATAATATCCTTTAAAAAATGTCAAATATTTATATTCATTTATATTCAGGGAAAGGCCAAGTAATACACGCGGATTTTACCTAATTTTAAATATATTTTAATATTTACCCCCCACTAATCCATTATATGCAGGTAACACAATTATTAGATATCAAATATTCGCGAGAAATTTGCAACGAACATTTTCGAATTTTTTATTAAATTGCGTATCGATATTATTCGTATAATTACAGGCGTTAAAATATTAGTTAAAATTATGTTATAATTATAAAATAATTTTTCTACTACATACCTAATTATATTGCATAAAAAAACGGATGAGAAATTATCGATTCAAATTTCTTGTAAATACTTGAATTTTGTGCTATGTTACTTTCTTACGAATTAATGATAAGCACTAAGACATATTTAAAGTTAGGCGAAATTCGTATGTATATTACTTGTAGCCTCCCATTGTTAGTTATCAGAAGATTAACTTACGCGGGGCCATTGTTAAGACAGCAAACAGTCACAATTGTGACTGTTTATATATTAGGACCTTGAATAACGGACAGCGCGTCTTGTGCGCTGCGGCTCTGAGTGCAAGGCGTCTACCAACTTTAAACAAATCATTAGTTTTAAACTTATTAATGCAATGAAAATGAAACTTTCCAGAACATTTGTTCATATCCGAATGAACAACTTTCTCGCTGAAAGTTTTAGGATGCTCGAAATTCGCTCGATAAACGAAGCACCTGAATGCATAAAAAAGGATATTTTGCAGGTGTGTATAAAAAAAATAATAAGTTGTTTGTTTATTGACAAATATCGGTTTTTCTTTCTTCACTAGACGTGGAAAACTCTAATGATCATAACTTCGAAAATAGCAAAAAAACGCATTTTTCGAGTATATATCCTCAAATATCTCAAAATCCTGACGTGATAGGCCAATTCTGATTTCAGATTCGGATTCTACGCAGAAAATTACGTCGGAAATGACCCACAGCTTCCCAACAACAAAACCTTGTTGACCTGTGTTATTAAACTCTGAAAACCTTGCATATTTTATCTTTGAAAAATAATTACACCTCATCATGGTTATTTATATATCCTGTTTGCTTTTAAATAATCATGTTTTATACTTATAAATTCTAAATATATTCATGCGATTAGAAACAGTCCTCCTAAAGTGCTATCGATGGTGAAGAAGAAGAACTCGCGGACCGGTCTATCAAATGATCTGGAAATTTTCACCTCTACCTCAAAGACAACAAAAAGTGCGCCAGAGCCTTGCAAATCTTGCGGGCGTCCAGATCAGCCGGAGAGATTCCACAGTCATCCTAAGGGCAGTCAGTCCAAAATCAAGGATATCCCATCGCCGATGACGACGAAACCGAAACCTGTGGTGCCGTCGGTACCAAAGTCCATTCAAAAGCCGGTGGCGTTGAACTTTCGTAGCGACCGGAACAGGAATAAACTAGATGAGGCCGAGACGAAGTCGAACCCGGTCATTCCTCAGGATCATCCTTCTCAGGACTCGGATCAGCAAAGCAGATCGTTGTCCGCGCCGATGAAACGAGGTCCCAGAAGTGTTACATGCTACGTCTGCGGTCGGGAATTCGGCACTGCCAGCTTTCCTATACACGAGCCTAAGTGTATGGAGGTAAGGGGTGGCTTCGACATTATCGCAATACCCTAAAACACAATACTTAATATGATTACTGTTAATTATTGCTATTAATGCGTATATTAATATGATTAACATACGCATTAATAGCAATAATTAATAGCGATCCCAGTAAATTGTCAATATATATTACTATATTCGATTAAACAACATGATTGTTACATGCAACATGTGTTGTATAACATTTATATTATTAAGTAGGAAGTTACATTGATACAATCTTATTATTAGTTGGTGTTTACTAGGGTCTATCTTTTACTTCGACTCACTTTTCGTCGTGATAAAAGCCTTAAAACAGATAAATCCTAAAATTAGGGCAGCACACGACTGACATTTTGAAGAGGCCGTATAAAGTCGCCGATAAATTCCTCTTCCCATTTCATCGCGGAAGTAACAGAAGGTTCATAACATAATTGCTTTGCAGCGATAGCGCGTGTAATAAGTCAAGGCCCTTCCGCAAGATCGATGATGGTATAACGTTGCATTGCTTGTACTATTAAACTCGATATCAGATGCATTCATTTGCGTGTAACCGATGTGTCATAGTTGAGCAGAACTATAACCGCAGCAATCGGTTGCGGTAATTTGTACGCGCTTAGATGGGGTGTCTTCGACCGACCGACCGCATTTTCCCGTAACGTTGGATTATTTAATGAATACTCTATATCCTGCATTTGCGCACACAAGTTTACCGAATGTGATGTTACGCGACTCTTATCTCGCTTTCCCATCGTGATCTTTGCGATCGATACGTAAATTCGCATTTATACACGCAATCACCCTTAGTTATATGAATGGTATATACAGACTTGGAACCAAAAGACATTGGAACAAACGTTATATACCACAGCAGTGCTAATGTGCTGCAATATAAAATCGATACAATAGTTGCGTGTTGCACGGAAAGAATGATTTTACTGCAATATCTACAAATTGATCTAGCTATAGATCTAAAAAAATATTTTTATTGGACAATCAAAAGAATTATGTAAAAAAATTCAAACATAATGAAATATTGCATAAAAATTTGATATTCTAGCAATCAGCTTGTGAGTGTTCTGTATAATTATTTTGGTTATTAGTTTGTTCATATATGTATTTGATATATAAAGATTTATTGAACATTAATACTTAAAAACTAGCTTTAGCTCGTAGCTCTTCCTTTATTTTAATTTTTGTTTTATTCAATTGAGCCTTAATTATTAATCTCTGTTATTTTGGTAGTAATATAATTATTTCAGATATGTAGCTAAATTTTAGATACTTTGGCAAAACCGTTCTTTGCATGTGCATAGAAAATTGTATGTAAATTGTTGGAAAGTTCTTATTAACCTTTAGAGAGCCGGACTGGCCACTATAGTGGCCAGTAACAGAAGTCTGTTTAACTTGAATCACTGCAGCCCATCAAATATTCAACTATTATTTCATTAATATAACTGTTTTGAAGATTTTCATACAATACAGACTTTGCCATAAATTCCAATATTTTCACTTGATAGGTAGAAAATGATAATTAGCAAACAATAATATAAATAAAAAATAAATAAAAATAAAATAATAAATAAATAAAAATGTAAAAAAAATATAAAATGTAAAAAAAATGAAAAAAAGGGACTACATAATTTTCTACGTCCACGTCGTTAGTCCTGGATCACACTAAAAGAAAGTTTCATATGTACGTAAACGTTTATGTTATTCAATTCGACTTATCTAGACTTACCTAGGTAAATAACACTATTTCTACACAAAATTTCGATAATTTGACTTCAGAAACATGTTCTGCAACATCAAAAATACTTAGGAATACTAAAAAATTTTTAAATAATGATAAAATTGACTAATCTATTTATATTCGTTAAATAACTATTATTATTTTATTACTTTGGTATCATAAATTATTATATACACTGAAAAAAAAGATTGGTTGCTGCAGCAAATTAGATGGTAAAATATGGCATAACATTTTTAATTGGCTACAGCAGCTAATTTTTGGTTGCGTTAGCATATCCGCAATGTCAGTATAGGATTTCGATTGGTTGCTGTAACCAAAAATTGGCTGCTGCAGTCAATTACAAATGCTATGCCATATTTTACCATCTAATTTGCTGCAGCAGCCAATCTTTTCTTTCAGTGTACTAGAACATCATACGTATATATTTATTTAGTAATTCTCTACTATGCTATTCATATACTTATTAAAGCGAACATCTTTATTACAGAAATGGGAGCGCGAGAATAATTCGCTGCCTTCATCTCAAAGACGGCCCAAACCGCAAAAACCTACGGTTAGCATCGAGCACAACGATTGGAACGCAGCTGCATGGGAGCAGAGTCAGGTAGATCCTCCGTTACAATTCTAATTAACGATGCAACGTTAACGAAATATACGACGGAGTAGTCATTCTTACGAGATGCGTCGTTTCCGTCTGAGAGGATATTGTTTCGCGCTTCGTTAATTTTATCGGACGATGATGCAGTCTTTATTCATCGATGATGTAAGAATCAATTACAGGATGCACATACGGAGCTCTAGGAGCGCCCGGAAAATGTGCCTGGTAAATTAGAATCGAAAGCAAAAAGAATTTGATTTTATAAAATTGGACACTTTGCCTTAGAAATTAAAGAAAATTAATAAATTCCAATTTAAATCTTGAAAGATTCGTCATGGATTTATTTAGAATCAAATTACTAGACATAATAATTTAATAATATCGCGTGCACAGTCTACTTTCGTGCTGTTCACGAGTGCGTGATTCTAACATCGAATATTAAAGATTGCTCTTTAACATCTCATATGCATACGATTCGCACGAGCGCATACCAAATGAGAATTGCGTGTTATGCAAGGAGGGTCTTTCACGATTAACTATCTGCGTAAAAAATTAGAATTGTTCGTTATATAATGATAAATTGATACTCTGTGATTACCAGTAATTTCAACATTTGCAGACGTCGATTCAGAGATAACAAAAAATTTTTTCTTTAACTAATAATTTTTTCAAATCATTTTGCACTTTATTAATTATTTCACTATCTTGATCAATGCATTAATTTGTTATTAATCTTATTTATAGAACACATGATGACTTTTATGTACAATTAAATGCCAGTAGAGATATACATACATATAATTTGTCTGTATAATTAAATAAAAATACAAGAACCTGCATTTTTATAGGAGCAATTAATTCCGTGTGCAAAGTGTGGGAGGACGTTTTTGCCTGAACGATTGCCAGTCCATGAAAGAAGTTGCAAAGCCACGCCTAAGGTATCAAATGCATTCAGTGATTCGGCGTTGTAGTTTCCCCACATATCATCTATTCTTCTAGAATAACGAACGACTGGGCACTCCAGCGAATGGACGTAATGCACCGCCTACTGTTCCCTGTAGTGTTTGTGGACGAAGATTCGGTACTAGAAGCATAAAGATTCACGAGCCTCAATGTAATAGGCGGTGGCAAGCCCAGAAAGATGCCAATCAGAAAGATCAAGTCCTTTACAGGCAAAAATCAGCCTATAGTGGACAGGGGAGTTCACAGTCAATGTATCCGGTGAGCTAAAAAATGGAAAACGTACAAGCTTTCATCTTTGAATCAACTCGTATCACTATATCTTTATATATCTTTCGTGCGAATAAATATTTTCCTTTTGCAGTGAGCTTTTTTAATATTCTCTGACATTTAGAATAAATTATTTCTAAATTTCTATATAAACGTTCTTTGTTATTTGAAATAAAAACTCTCTTATTTTACGCGACATTGAATTGTGTCATGTGTGAGATAAAATAGTTTGTTATAACTAATATAAACTATTAGAATAAAAAACAATTAAATGGAATGTTTAGCAAATAGTAAGAAAAATAAGGAGACACATTTAAACTGCTTGATTTTAGAATTTGTCGCAAAAGAAAACAGTTACATGTTATATCTGTGGTCGAGATTTCGGATCATCTAGTATTGCTATTCACGAGCCCCAGTGCTTGAAGAAGTGGCATGCCGAAAATGATAAGCTATCGCCGGCTCGAAGAAGAAAGGAGCCGCAAAAACCTGAGACTATATATATACGTAAGTCAATGTTCTCATTTGCATAATAATACTTGCATTATAATGCCTAGCCCTGCGTTCGTTTTAAGCGTTTATAAGTTGTTCATGTTATCTTTCTTTCGCATGTATAAATGAGCGATGAAGATAATGCTTACAGCACGTGAGCACCTAAAGCAAACGCAGAGAATGTTATACAAAAATGTAATGACAAAAAGATTATTGAAAGGGTATTTATAATAATTTGAAAAAATTTTAATATCCCGAAGTTATATTAAAGTTATGATTGCAATTTCTATCTTTTAACACTTTGTCAGCAAATTTGGATTTTAAAGGACTTTAAAGTTAACATTTTGATTGTGAATTGTGATAGATAAATTTAAATTTGTGAAAAATGAGTAAAATACAATCCATGTTTATAATAGTAAAAATTCGTTGTTAAAGCTTTCACTAATATGCAAGAATTTTTTCAGATTTTTAACAGTCTGGAATAATATAAAAATATATATTAATAAATATATTGATAAATTTTATTCCCTTTCCCGCACTTTCTCTTCGTCTAGCACAAAGGTATAATCTTATAAAATAATGCATAACGATCAGAATAGATTCTTTCGAAGCTTGTGTTTGTCCTTTCGCGCATATTTGTCATTCACCTTGAAGTTCATTCTGAATTCGTTGTCACGGTCAAGAGTACTACGAAGTGAATTAATCAAGTTAAAGCGATTACATGTGCATGTATGAAACATGAAGTAATGTTCCCGCCATGGAATGGAAGTGGGTGTAGTCCTGATTAATTATACATGCGTCACAGATGTATTCTTGATCGGGAGTTTCGCTTACGAATCGATAATTGCTTGACAGAATGCGACGAAAATCTTATGTCACTCATGTCTCTTGAGTTTCCTGTAGGAATAAAAAAAATATGATTTAAAAGTAAAAATTTAAACCCAAACGATGCCATATATATACATATTAGCGATAACTTGAATCTATAAAATTTTATAACTAATGTCCATTTTTATCAATGTAGATTAACTTTCATCTCGGTTTAATTTACTTTTTGTCTTTTTCTAATCTTTAAAACACATTAGAAAAAGATAAAAACTAAGTTAAATTGAAATTAAAATTAATCTACATTGATAAAAATGAATGTAAGCCCATTTGATAACTAAAAGTAATATCCCAGCAAATACCAACTACATTGGGTGCATTCAGTACCACGACCGCTCACTGAGCGCTCAGTGAACTCTTGTATCTGTTTGGTTTATATTTTTAGTTCTAACGGAATATGCCAATAAGATGCAAGCGCTCACTGAGCGTTCAATGAGCGATTGTAGTACTGAATACACCCATTAATTTAATTAACTTAATTGTTAGTTCTAATTCCCACTCAACAATGTAATTGTTGTTATATATTACAGTTATATTGTTGAGAGGGAAATTACAACTAACAATTATGTTAATGTTAGACTGCGTTCCAATATTCGCTGCCAGTACTGAAAATCTATACTATACATTATGTGCATTATAGATTTTCAGCACTGGCAGTGAATATCGGAATACAGTCTTGCATGTTGTGTTTGCTAAGATAACATCAAGTTATAATTTCGCAATCAATAAAGTAACTAATTCATACAACATTATGTGTTTATTACATTTATATTATTGAGTGCAAAATTATAATATTGATGTTGTAACTTTTAGTTTGTATGGGAGGAATTTATTTTGACAGTCAAACAGTAGTAGAATTGTCAATTCTGAGGCAACAGACAAATCGTTTACAAATCAATTTAGTAACCGAACATTTTCTTAAAGCTTCGCCTACACTTTTCAAGGTACAATACAGTCGGCAATGACGACTTCACTGTTCGCAGAGGATCCCAGCACGGGAAATATGGTGGTTGATCAGACAGCAACGGTTGAGGCCAACTGGATGACGCACCTGAGCCAACTGGTACCCTGCAAGCATTGCGGAAGAACTTTTAATCCCGATCGTGTGAACATTCATGAGAAAAGCTGCAAAGGGAATCGTTAAGAATCTAATCGGTTCTCTCTTACCTTAACATCAGACTATATTATACTAATCAAGTACCGCTTATATTTTTTAGAAGTGATTTGTGTTTTTACATGGATATTATATAATAATATCGACTTCTGTAACATAGCATATGGAGATACTTTTAAGTTTTTTTACTTAAAACTCGCTTAAAACTTTACTTTTAAAACTCGCTTCTATCTAGGTTTTTATTAATTACGGATGACGTATTATTGATTATACAATTCGTGATTTTCTGTTTTGAGGAAGCACTTATTGGATTGACATGTAAAAGTGAGCGATAATAAAATCAAAGATTAAAGCACCTGTTGTGCACCTTGCATAAACGCACGAATGTTGTTAGATGTTACGAATCAGTGCATGATTATAACACAATTTAAGTTTAATTAATTACGCAAATTAGTTATCAATTTACTGTATATACGTGTCCCGGAGTTATCATTGCTTCGGTCCGCGGATCTCGTCGATATTGATCCTAGATGTGTTCTTTGTAGTTGCGCGTTGTGTTCTACATTTTGTACTTAAAACGAAATATAATTAGAGAGAAAAGAGAAAGATAAAAAGATAAAAATCTAGAGAGAAAAGGGAAAGATAAAAAGTACAAAGAATTCAGCTACAAGAAATAAACATTTGAACAAAAAACTCGAGCGGTAATTCCTAATAATGTCTTTGTAATTGACTCGAATGCGAGTTTTATAAAATAAATTTAAGTCCACTTAAAGAAGGAACTTACGAAATGTCTTATTACTGTCTGATATTGCCTTTTTCAATCCATTCAGTCTCAAACTGCTAATAAAAGTATTGTAAATTAAAACTATAAACTACGTTTACACAGGCTGTGTTCCAAAATTGACTGCCAGTACTGAAAATCTATAGTGCACGTAACGTAAACTGTAGCATTTTTTGTGCTGGCAGTAAATTTGGAACACAGCCACAATACTCTTAATTGGGTTTAAAGTCTATTCCACAATTACGTAAAGCGCATTAAACATTCCAATATGCTCCTACCATAGCTCTTACTCACTCCAACGCGCTTGGTAGAGTGAGAAGGAGTTATGGTAGGAACATGTTGGAGCATGTTGGAGCTTGCGACGCGACAAACCTAAAGTGAAACGTTGCGCATAATGGTGATAGAATACTGGAATCAACCAATTGAATTTGGGTCCAAATGTACTTTCCTAGACTGCGTTCGAAAACATCACCCGGGTGCTCCCATGTATCATCATATCCTTATTTAACATTGGCTGCGTTCAGCAGAACGTTTGTTTTGCAACTGTTGGAAGTTTCCTTCGCGCTGATTGGATCATACTTTTAGATCTAGAAGAATGGTCCTATCTCAGTAGACAATCATAAAACGGTTGCAAAACTGTTGAGTCTGCTGAAC